TGAACTGCTGGTGCAATAAGGCTCCCATAATCACAAAATATGGGGATTAAACTGTGCTTGGACAGATGTTTTTGGCCAAGGAACACCTGACATTTTTTAATATGAAAGAATTACTAGGAATAAAATGATGGAAATTTATTTAAGCTACCTTATTATTACTACCTTACTATTACTAGTATTAAATAAAGAGTTTTCATATTGGAAAGGGAATTATAGCAATTCTATCAGTAGAGTTACACTGAGCACAGGATTTCCCCATGGTAGATTAAATGTACTTTTTCTTAGAACTTCTTACAGGTGCTGCAGAAGAAGCGAGAAACAAGAGAGGATTTGAAAGGATACAGGAACCTGAAGGATGGAATAGGTCATGTAGTCCTGGAAATGATCCGTAAAGGCTGCTCAGGTAAAGAAATGTAAGCAGGTAGAGACAATTTAATGTTAAGATTTATAGAACTGGTATTTCAGGCAAGAAAATACCAGAAGTAGGTTTTACAGAAGGAATTATAAGTTCACACTTCACACAGGACTAAATTCAGACCATTTCGTTATCTGACAATAAGCAGAGCTCGCAAGATTTTGATTTCTGTAGCTTTCAACTGTTACCAAAAAAAATTAACAAACATGGGAAAGCATACTATATATAGATAGATAGATAGATAGATATAGATATAGTCAATGCTTTTCCTTTGCTTTATTTCTGAAATGAAAGTGACATGGAGAAAAAAAAATTGGCATCAGTGTGCCCATTCTATAGCAATTTCACTAGTGTTCCACATCAACAATCAAATGAATCTCCTTATTCTGCAATAAGGCATTATTTAATTTCATTAAATAAATAATGCATAGAAATTGCTAAGTATTACATCAAGCTCAACTTTCAGTGCTACCAAAATGGCATTGAACTGTGATTCAAAATTTATATCTGTTACGGAACAATTTATTATGGCTCTTAAGAGTTTTCTAGTTAATTCATAACTCTTAGTGGAACCTATGAGCCCCATAACAAGTACTTTACCATCCTATTCTGAGGATTTCCTAAAATTGCATCGCTCTTTAAAAATTGGCTATTTGAATCTCCTTTCTTACCAAAAGCCTATTGTTTCATCACATACTTAATGCTGTCCTTCTTGCATCTCAGAGTAATATTTAATATTTAGATTACCAAAACCACCTCTTATGTTATGTGATAAAAGCTCATCTGCACATCCACAAGGAGCACAACTGAAGCTGAGTGATCCTAAATAATACCCTGCCCTGGCTACTCCCATGGCACTAAGAGGAAGCCAACCCACAAAAGCCCATCTCCCCAGTGTATAAAGGAAAAGCCCTGCTACACCAGACTACTGATTTACCTCACATCTTACCTCTCTGGCATTTGCTTGTACTAAACACTTAAACCAAGTTGTTTTTTTCTTTCACTCCATTAGCACCTGTCCATCTTGCCTTTAACAATGTACACAACAGTCCTACCCAAGTCTCTTTTCTCCTGGATATTTCTTTCTTTACTACCTCCCTACTTTAGCCTCCTTACATTTGCCCTCAACTCTTCTGCCGGCTAGCTCTTATGGACCTGCTGCCAAAGTCCATTTAATTTTTTCTTTCTCTACAAAGATAAGCAACAGAATTTTCAAGAGAATATAGGCCAATGTTAAACATTTTTACAAATCCTGAAGTTATATAAAAAAGAGTTGAAATGTACGATTCTAAATTACGGGTATTTGCAGTGTACATGCAGTATCTATATAAAAATCATACTTAAAATCTTTATGTATTGAGCAATGGAGGTTTGGCTTTCTTCAGGGAGGAAAAAAGGTTTTGTACTACATGCATTGCAACTGAAACTAAGGAGGTGGAGACATGCTGATCTCAATTAGTAGGACTTTGAGTAAATAGCTTAAAAAAACAGGGAAAAAAAAAAAAAAAAAAAAAACAGAAGTTATCTAAGCTATGCTAGATAAAATAATATCTAATATTGCCAGAGTAGCACCTTCTGGCCATTGAAATAATAATATTTATTAATGGGCTTACCCACAAATTTTAAATTTCATTTTCCATGCCACACATTCCTTGCATTGCATGATGAGTAGAGCTGACTACTCTGACATAACAAGGAGATGTAAGAGCTTAGCTTCCTTTTGTCCATCATCTATGTCATTATTTGCACATGGTAGAATTCCAACACAAGTTTTGCACAGTTCAAAGTTATGTAAATAAGGAACTAAGAGATGAGGACCACGTTTAGTCTGTTCTACACATAAACAGGCTTTGCTCAAACACCAGGCAAACCTGAAGCCAAGTCACACAACCTATTAGTATGCTTCATTGATTTAAAACAGCCTTCACAGTACTGCTACCAAAGCACTATGACTACATCACCTACATGTCCTTACCAGGTGATAGGAGGACCTATCTTTAATGCAGTTCACAGCCAGATGAAGGCTATATTCTGAGAGATCAGCTGACGACGATTTCTCCTTACTCTGCTGGGATATGTGGATGAGCATAGGCTCTTGGCTAACATTCTGCAAGGAGAGGGAATGCTTCCACCAGCAAGGTTGAAAAAGAGCACAGCCTGCTTCCAGACTCCTTCTTTGCTTTATCCTACAAGAAACAAGTCCCACTACTATGCTACTAGTGTACAGGCTATCTTTATAAAGGGCAGAGCCAATCTCTCTGTTCTTTTTGCTAACTAGACTGTATGTTTACTGTTTTTACCCTAAAATTCTCTTCAATTCTTGAGATTTTCTCAAAGTTTGAGCCCATCAATTTTTAGTTATAGCCTTGAGAATTTATCTATCCTAATGCTATGGCTGAAAAAAAAAGACATACAAAAATCTGTTTTGTGTTGGAAGCTGTGATTCTGGCCCCAACCTGATGTTAAGGCAATCATTTAAGATGTATATGTCTTAAAGCTCTGTATTTCCCCTTTCTACATGCACCATACTACTACCCACAGGATTACTGATCTGGAACTATGCAAACATACTTTCAGCAGAATCTTCACAATGCAGCCCTCCATTATCTGAAATTATTTGTAGAAAGAGTCTTACACATTATTATACTTAAAATGTTCTTCACCATTTGAAAGCATCACTGCAAAGATTTATTGCATGCTGCCTTTGTCCTTGAGCAATAACATCTGTAATAACAATGGAAAGAGCTGCATTTACTATCATTCCCTTACCTTTGAAATGTTGCTTAATGAGGACCATCTTAAATAGGCACAATTCCCAAGGCTTATTGCCAATTCTCTCTGAGGTCTGAGTTTTCATCTGTACCTGCCAGAAGGTTGATTTAATAGGAAAAATAATTCTTCTATCTTTAATAATAAAGCCTTGTATATAACACTAGATTTACCTGGGCATCCGTTCTTAAAACTTTTTGAAGACATTCATTTTTAATCCATCAAAGATCCTTCTGATAGCTAGAATGATACAAAGCTGACTTCAACACAGGATACACCAAAAAAAGATGTAGCAGCCTTGATTTTTGGTTCCCATCTGCTCCTTTCACAGCCATGCAAAGGTGTATTCAAAAGGCCAAACGCTGATTGTGGCTAGGCTTACATTAAACTATTTTGATGGCTTTGGTGGAACAAAGGGGAAGCAGTGAGAGAGGCTCCTGCACTATGCACATACCCAGAGATAAAACTCTTTGGGAATGGCCCAGTTTTAAAGCCCTGTTCCTCCTGTTCTGTGTACAACTAAATATGCTATACTTCAAGAGGCAGTGAATTTCACTGTGAGAAGTTTCTGAGTACTTACTTTCATTTCTTCCTGTCGTCAAATGTTTTCAATTCTGAACATTTCTTCTTTTTCTGAATATGATGCTAAATGGCTCTCCCATCAATAAATGCTGAAAATACCCTCTCTGGCCACCAAGTAATATGTGCTATCTACACAAAGAACCTGTTAATAGCCTTACTTGATTTTCTTCCTCTACTCCATTGTATCTTGGTGAGATTTGAAAATATATAACTTTAAAAATATGAACATCTATTACTCAAATCTACATCCGTCTCAAAGTCCAGTGACTCCATTTTAGTCTTCACTGTTTTCCCACCTCACTGCTACAGGTCAGAAATACTTTAGAAGAGTGTGTGGTCTTCTACTGTTACCCAGCCTAACCAGTACTGGCTGCCATTACTTCTGACACAAAAGCTCAGGAAATCCTTGATCTAAATTGTCTATATTTTTGCATCTTTCTGGCAGGTTGCAACTCATCTCTTCTTCTTCGCTACTGCCATTATCACTCCTGAAATAGCAGGACATGCTCTGCCTGTGGTAAGCAGAGACACTGAGTACAAGCCTGTGATGAGGCAGCAGGGGCAATCACTGCCACTCCATCTGCTTCCTGATCACTGGTATTTCTTCTGCCTTACCAAGGAACCTTTCTGATTTCATTGATGAAGCAGTAAAAGAAATGGGTTCTGGTAATTAGTGATCAGCCACCCTGCTGGCAATGTTGACAACGTCTCTTTATACATAGAAGTGTGCAAATAAGCAACAGGCAAGTCAAGTACAGAGTATGGACATTGCCTTCCAGTTAAGAGAACGGTGTCCATATCTTTCTTTTTTGAATGTTATCACATCTGACAACAATCACACCAATGACTAGGGGAGAGGGCTCTTGTAGGTCCAGAGTGGAAATACCTCTGAAAACTGTGAGGATACAGGAGATCCAAATCATTTCCAAAGCATAATTCTGTCCATTGTGGTACCACACAGTTTCCCACGTTTTACTTCTAGCGTCAGCTACCCTTTCCCCAAGCCACAGAATCAGAGAGGGCACAGTCTGGTCAATATCCTTGACTCACCACATTAATCAGCTGCATGCTGACCCCTGCTCCAATCGGACAACGCCGTCAGACATTTCTCCCTACCCCCACTTCCCTGGGGAAGCAAACGCTTTAAGCGCTACCCAGCCCGAGAAGCACAGCAAAGCAGACTCCACCACAGCCACACACCCCTACCCCCACGAAGTGCTTCACTTGACACCTCATGAAGACTTCAGAGGGGAGCGAAGCTCCACCTCCCCCCTCCCGCGTCTTCCCCGCCGTCACAGCCCCTCCTCCCGCCACACACATGTGCCTGCAGCCAGCGCAGGGGCGCGCCGTCGGGGCGGGTGGGAGCGGCCGCCTCCCCGGCACCGCCCGCGCCGCGCATCGCCCGCAGTCGGACACGGGGAGCCGGTGGCCGTTCTGACGCCGCCGCGTACCATGGCCGTCGCCTACCTCCTGGGCAACGGCTCCGCGCCGCTCCTCGCCGGCGCCCTGGAGGTCCCCTTCGGAGCCAACTCCTCCGCCACCGCCTGCCGCCCCGCCGTGCCTCCCTGCGCGGCCGCGCCGCCAGGCTCCTGGGGCAACAGCACGGCGGGCTGGAACCGCTCCGAGCCTTGCGGCGGTGCCAACGGCAGCGCGGGAGGCGGGCCGTGCGCTCCCGCGGGCGGCGGCGGCCCCTCTGTGGTTACGGCTATCGCCATCATGGCCCTCTACTCTGTAGTGTGCGTCGTGGGGCTTTTCGGCAACTTCTTGGTCATGTACGTCATCATCAGGTGAGTGCCGCCGTCGGGCTGCGGAACGGCGTTCCGCCGGCGGCGGGATGCTACGGAGCCGGTGCGGTGCGAGGGACTTCTGCCTACTGGGTGCGGGGAATTTGAGTGGAAGAGGCTTTGGGAAGGCGTCGGAGCGAGAGACCGCGGAGGGGAAACGCGGCGTAGCCGAGCGCCCCGTCGGAGATGCTCCGCGGGCCCCCAGGGCTGCAGTGCCCGGCAGCGCTCCGACCGCGCAGCCCGACTCTCGCAGCTGTCCGCTGCTGAGTGAAGGTGGAAGGGGACCGCGGCCACCGCGTGCGCGAGTGTACGCACAGCACTCTGCACGCGTCTGTCCCCAAACCTGTCCCAGCACAAAAGCAAAATATAAATGGCATCGCGGCTCAATGTTCCTCTCTGCCTGTATTTATAGATCCTCTACTTTGAATGTTGATATGCGCGTTTTATGCACGTATACATCTCCGTCTGTGTACGTGTATATACCTCCACGCGTACACACGGGGATCCTGTCAGTTCCCCAGGCTCCCAGCTGCGCTGCAGCATTGAGCGTCATTGTCACCCGCAGATCCTTCACAAATGTGCCTTTCACGCACGAGGAATCTCATACCCGTAAACCGGCGGCGAACGGGTGGCGGCGAGATGAAACAGGCTTCGGCGGGGCCCGGGTCGGGTGGTCGGATTCCGTGGAGGAACAGTGCCACCTCCCGGGGGCGGCGGGGCCGAACGGGTCGAAGCTGCCCTCGAATGCCCCGGGTCGGAGCTGGCCCGGCACCGACTTCCCCTGGGTAGCTGGCCTTTCCGAGCCGCGCTTCTGCAGAGGTTGCCCTTGGGGAGTGCTCCCTCCTTGCCGCAGGACTTGCAATTCCCCACTGTCCCTCTGGGCAGGCGCTGCGTGGGGCTCAGGGGAGGCTGTAACAAGCTGGGGTGATGCTCCGATGATTCCTTCAGTGTACAACATAACAGCAGCTTTTGGGGATGTCTCTGCAAAGCTCATACAACTAAACCTAATGGGAACACAACTTACACGCATCAATGGTTCAGACTATTCCTACTGCTTTTAGCCATATTTCAGAGGCAGAAGTGGGAAGATTCTTTGTGCCATGAGGATTTGGTCAAGCTCAGATCCCAGCTGTTTGTATGAGAAGTGCTCCTGAACAGGAAGATGACTGCAGTGGTCTGAGCAAGTGGTGAATGCCTTCCTCTGGGAGAAGAAGCAGATGCACAATGTAACAAAACCAGGATGGTTGTCAGCAGTGTGTATGTTACAAGTTTTCCATGGAATTGTATATTTATACCAGCCATAACCTGTTCTGGTTTCATATTTCTTATATTAATTAATTCAATTATACTTACACCACAAAGCCAAATTGAATGAGGCACCTGCATTCAGCTTTCTATCTTGAGACAATCTTTCCCAGAGATTAAAGCTTAATACAAAAGCCAGAGGCAATAGAAGGCAAAAAGTATGCTTTAATTTACAGAGGAAGACATAAATCAGTTAAATGACCTCCCTAAAACCACTCTGGAATTCTGCAGCAAAGATAGGACTGAACCCCGATCTTCCAGATTCCATATGACATAATTCCTTCTCAATTAATATCATACACATATTTCCCGTTTTAGGATGAAAAAAAAGCTTACTTATTATGATTGAATAGAGTCTGTGGTTTAAGCGTCACAGAAATGCCTTTCCTTTCTGTGCTTCTATATAGGTTTGGTATACTTGGGCAGCAGTAAGGAGTTTTTTCCTTTTGCAGGCTATGCTAACATGAGAGCATTCCCAAATTGTTTCATATGCATATATGGAGCAGTGAGCATATGTGCTCATATTCATGAAACCTTAGATCCCACTAAAGATAGGAAACAAACCTTTCCCTGGATCAAATTTGGCATACTATAAATCTCCCTATCTTTGTCCACCTTTCATACAGTGACTGCTCAAGAAAAAGGAAGTTTTGAAGTTTGTGTTAATTTTGAGGTGAATTAATACTACAAGAAAAAAGATTTGAAAGTGATATTGTCAGCTTGTTTACCTTGAAAATGCCAGGAGCAGGGAGGGAAATGATCAGATGTCTGACACTGTCCCTACTCACCTCTTAGAGTCCAGTGAAAGTTTAGAGTGCATGCTAATACATTATGCTCAGCTTCTTTGGAAACATTTTTTTTTAATAGCTATTAAGTTATTTCTATAAGCAAGCGACTTTAAAGCCCCATCCAGTTGTCCCATCTCCTCCAAGTGAAGCAGATCCATGGGCCTGGAGCCAGAGCTGTGTAGGCGCTTGCCTGATGTGTAACTGTCATTATCAATATACAGTGTCACGGGCTTTGTATACCTGTACATTATCATTAATGCAATCTCAACCACCCCCCTCATTCTCCCAAGCGGTTTCTGTTCAGCTGAATTATTTCTTCCTTAAATTATTATTTACAACACATTGTATCTACAGTATGTGAAGCTGAACCCCATGTTACCAACACTGAGCTGTTTCCTTTGTGAAGTATGAAAAATGCCTTCTGAGTGACAGCAATAATAGTCAGGTTTTACTGCCAGCCACAGATTTCATTATCTATTTTCCTCATGTGTTTTGTTTAAGCATGAACTACTAATACGAACACACTGTCATTATGGCTACATTAACAGCAAACGCTACTGCTAGTTGCTGCAGAGTACAAGACAGTGTACAATTAGTATTATCATGTGGCATTGAATTAATTTCACATCAATCTATAGGCTTTTCTTGCTTTCTAGACAAGTCAGTGGGATATGATGAGAGGGGGAAGAAGAATATGTCCTGTGATTAAGGAGGTGTGCACAGTGCTAGAAAGCTGTGATAGATCATAGCTGAACATCTTTGGCATCACCAGAGTGGAGAAGCTGAGGCCCCAGCCCTGCACTGGGCGGAATGCCCTGAGAGGGCTGCAATGTCATCAATAGATGCTGTCAGCGCTCAAGGCAAGAGCAATGCCTTAATTGCTGTGCTAATCATTTTGTCACATATCATAAATAAAGGAGCCTGAGGTGCTGCGTGGTCCTTCACAGGATAAGGGAAATGCCTTGTTTCATTAGAGTAAATGATTATACTAGCATTTTTATTTATTTATTTATTTTTTAAAGTCCACAAAATTAAAATAAGGAAGGAAGTCTGCTTTGAGGCAAAGAGCTTTTTACATTTCTCAGGGCAATATCTCAACTATGTTTTGGAAAAAAAAAAAAATTATGATTGAATCATCATCTTATTTGGGAAGATTGTACACTCTACTGAAACCTTTGCTTACCTCAGCCTGGCTCACTGCTTTGGAAATACTATTTTAGTAAGAAAGGAATTTGGCATGTAATTTCAATTGTAGGAAGGATGGATGTCTTCAGAGGAATACTCTGATGTGTAAAGAAAAGGAAAAGTGAGGAGTTCGTAAAGAGGATATAGCATAAGGGGTAGAGAGAGTCTGATTTTTAATAAGTAAGCTGAAAATGATCCACTGAAAATGATCAGAGGTTAAAACAGGCTGAAGCAAATACTTTTTCTAAAAAAGACAGGAGCTCTTCTTTGCAAAGCAACGTGGAGTTATAGATGCAGTGTGAAAGAAGATCCATGGCATGTCTTGTGTCAGCATAGATCAGGGAATTTAGAAACCTAGAAATCCATAAAATTCATTTCTTCTCTGCCCACAGCAATGTGAATGTCTCTTCATTTGGATGGCACTGCATGTGTCATCTCCAGGGAGACCTGATAGTGGCCTTTCAGTATCTAATGGGGGGTTATAAGAAAGGGGACAGACTCTTTACCAGGTTCTGTTGTGACAGGACAAGGGGAAATTGTTTCAAACTAAAAGAAGGGAGGCACTGGAACAGTTTGCCCAGAGAAGTGGTGAAGGCCCTATTCTTGGAGTCAGTCAAGGTTTGAGGAAAGGTCTGAGTAGGCAAGACCAGCCCAGAAGCTGAGTTCAAAGAGAGGTGCAGTGAGGTGATGATTCTCAGCACACCACTTTATACAGAGGCATATGTTTCGTTTGCACACTGCTTGCAATAAAAATTTACCAACTTCTACTAGAGGTTAAATGTTTGACTACTAAGGTGCTCCCCTCTCCTCCAGGATCCAGAAGAATAGATTATATAAAATGCCATGTATACTTTTGTATTTTTGTTTTGTTTAAGTTATATTGAAACAGCCATGGTTGACGACCTCAGAATGTCCCTGGTCTCTCTGAGTGTCAATGGTTTACGGGCTGGTTTGGCCCAGTTCTGTGACTAGCGGGGTGGAGGGATTTCGCAAAATCCGCGCCTCCGAAAAAAGGAACAGGGGACCCCAAAATAATTAAAAACAGTGGCAACGATCTGAGGAGAAACAAACTAATTTACTAAATATAGTATTGGAATGCAAGATAACACAATATAATACAATAGAATTAAAATTGAAGCTAATAAATCAAATATAATCAGAGAGGAAATGTCCGAAAGGTGGATAGGCCTCACCACAACGCTGACGTGAGATGCGCAGTCCAGTTGAGCAGCAGGGAGACGGGAGGACAGCCGATGAAGAAGAGTGCATCAGGTGATGCACTCCTTGCTAGGAGTTCTATCTCCTCTCTGTGACCACAAAGTCCCCTGGGGAATGTAGTTCTTCTTCTCTTCCGGGCAGGTACCCAGAACTTGAGCATTAACAGTTAAACTCCCAGTGCCCCACATGATGTGGAATACTGATAACCAAAAATCATAAAACCATGCCACTGAGCTGGAGGCAAGGTCAGGATTCCCAGCCAGCTCCCACCTGCAGGATATGGAGCTGCCCCTGCAGCACCTCCACCCCTGGGCAGAGGTAGGCTGAAAACTTCACCCCTCACTGAATTTCCTCATAAAAGTCAGTCTAATTGCACTATTTATGGTATCTAGTAAAACTAGAACATATTATAAGCACATATTATTCATATTTCAATTATTAGCAAACTGATGAGGAGTTAATGTGAGCTAGCATAATCCTGAAATACAATTTTTTTCTTTTTAACTT